ATACGCACACACACACACACACACACACACACACACACGCACATACTCTTATTATTTATCTTTGGAGGATGTAGCTGGTTTTATTTCTTTGTAATAGAAACGGATAGCATTCCGGTCTCAAAATAAATGTATTTTTCTTAACCCTATGATACAACATGTATCATGCATATCTCGTGCATCTGAGATCTTTTGTTTCATTTGAAGGTAAAAACTTTGCACAAAACCCTGTTGGACACAATCAAATTAACCTGATAACAGCAGACAGAAGAAAACACAAAAAAACACAAATACATTAGAACCTCCACAGAGTCTAACTGGTTCCAGGAGCGACCTCTTTGTTAAAATATTGGTGTGTTGGTTCAAATCTTCATTCAGAATACTCCATTCCTAGAATTGGTTCCAAAAACCTACAATAACTCCTTGAGAAATACTGCAGATAATCACACATAGCAAGAAAACAAATTACTTCTAGAAGAGAGAACTTTAAACTAACATAGCTTATTTATTTTGATTCAATTTTGTATGTTTAATTTTCTTTATTTGACTTCAACGTCATACATATGTTGGACATTTACTTCACTGTCGAGTCGAATATTTGATCAGCTTTCCCTTTAGATGTTGGAAAATCCGTATGTATAGGCATCGTAAGTAGAGGTTCATTCTGACTTGTCACACCGTAATAAATGAATGTTCAAAAATAATGCTTGTTTTCTTTATAGTTTTCCAAAGGGCCAAATACAAACTTTAAACAAAAAAAAGTAAAAATTCATCCTTTTTCTTGGATTATGGTGAGGACTGTAGGCAGGCACCTCAGTCCAGTAACGGTGACTACAGCGGTAGTCGGGGTGCTCTTGGCTGGGGCTCAGGAGGAGAGAGCACCCCCCCTGAGTGGAGGGTCAGTGTTGAACTCTGAGTTCCTCATGGGAGAGTCCCCGGGCACAGCCCCGAGCCCCAAATATCTCCCGGTTGCATCTGGTGTGCCTACTGGTGCCACCGGGGTGTGAAGGACAGAGAGTAGAGCTCTTTTGAGTGGTCAGCTCGGCTGGAAAAGCTCCATAGAAGTGCATGTACATTTACATTTGACATTTACCTCAATGCTGTTTATACAGGAATTGTATAGGTGAGATTTTTCTTGCTCTGTTGTGACCAAGCCAGAAGTACCTACTCAGTTATAACAAAAAAATGAAACCTAAAAGAAGACGACCCTTACAAAAACTGCGCAGATATTTAGAAAGCTAGCTGCATCTTTCCGTTAGGTCTGAACATCCTGCCGGGGTCCTGATCCGGACCGGCTGTGGTGTTGTGTGCTGTTTTCTGAGTCAAAGGTTTCCTCCAGGCGCCGCAGAGGTCTGACCGGGTCCCGCCCCCGCCCCGGTGAACACTGGGCCCAGGGGAATGTTCCCGCTCTCTTTCTTGTTCTGTTTCCTGCTGAATCCGTTCCCCAGCGAGTTCCCACGGCTAGCTATTTGGACTCAACTGCTGTGGTCCCTGTGAGGTTGATAATCTGCACACTCCCCCTGCAGACCCCCCCGGCCTGCTCGGTTGTAGCCGTGACCTGGAACCACCCCGCCACCGAGTACAGCCTGCAACCTCCTACTCTGGATTTAAAAACCTGTAAGAACAAGTTTTTCCTTTTGCCTCCATATTCCTCCCCCTGAAACATCACTAACGGCCTTTCCCATCAGGGCCTCCTCAGCTCTGCAGGGTTTAGCTGGCTTTTCATTACAAATTGTGGCAGTTGGTGATTGTGAGGGGGCGGGGGTGGGGTGGGGCTGTTGTGTGTTCATGTTTCTGCATGCAGCAGACGCTTTATCCAAAGTGACTCACAGTGCAGATACAGCATTACAGTCAACACCAACCAGACAGTCTGCAGCACAGAGGGGGGGCCTGCTCAGACTGTTAGAGGCAGCAGGCTGACGGTGAAGGTAGAGGCAGAGAAGCACAGGGGGGGGGGGG